GGCTAATGTAATTCCTATTTTTAAAGCAGGGGACAAGTTGTTACCCTCAAATTACCACCCAGTTAGCCTAACCTCAATTGTAGGCAAATTACTAGTCAATTATAGCTGATATTATAAGAAGCCATCTCGATAGGCATAATTTGATTAATGATACTCAAAATGGATTCACCAGGGGCCATTCCTGCCTAACTAATTTATTAACTTTCTTCAGTAAGGCTTTTGAGGCTGTTGATCATGATAGTTTGATATTGTTTATTTGGATTTTAGTAAGACTTTTGACAGAGTACCACATCAGAGACTGTTAAAGAAAGTGGCTGCTCATGGCATTGGGGGAAAAGTGCTGTTATGGATCGAGTCATGGCTCGCCAATAGGAAGCAGTGTGTGTGCATAAATGGGGTTAAATCTGAGTGGGGATCTGTAACAAGTGGCATTCCACAGGGATCAGTCTTGGGCCCATTGTTGTTTATAATATATATCAATGACCTTGATGGGGGAATTACTAGTGATATGAGCAAATTTGCCAATGACTCGAAGATAGGTAGGATAATTGATTCAAATGTAGATGTCACACTCAAGTCTTGGTCAGAAAAGTGGCAGATGCAAGGTTCTGAAGCTCAGGAATGTCCATTACCCTAGTACTTATAAGTTAAATAACATAGAACTTAGCCATATGGATTGCAAAAAGGACTTGGGGGTTATGGTAAGCAGCAACCTTAAACCAAGACAGCAATGCCTAAGTGTATGTAATAAGGCAAACAGATTACTGGGATTTATATCAAGAAGTATAAGCAACAGAAGTCCAGAGGTTATGCTACAGCTTTATACATCATTAGTAAGGCCTCACCTAGATTATGCAGCTCAGTTCTGGTCTCCTTATTACAAAATAGATATAAATTTGTTAGAAAACATTCAACAAAGAGTGACAAAATTAATTCATAGCATCAGAAATCTTCTGTATGAAGAAAGATTGAAGTCCCTTAAATTACATTCACTTGTAAGACTGAGAATGAGGGAACACATGATTGAAGTGTACAAGTGGAAAATGGGTATTAATAAAGGGGATATAAATGTCTTGAGGATATCTCTCCAAGAGAGAACCCGCAATCATTGATTCAAATTAGTTAAGTTTAGATTTAGAAAGGATATAGGAAAGTATTGGTTTGGAAATAGGGTACTTGATGAGTGGAACAGTCTGCCTAGTAGGGTTATTGAAGCTAGGACCTTGGGTTGTTTCAAATTTAGGGGTTGGATTTGCATGTGAGTAAATAGAATTGTCAAAGTTTGGTTAGCGTTGATTCTGTTATTGGGTTGGATTTGTGAAGGATCTGCCTAGTATGGGCCAACAGGCCTACTGCAGTGTTTCTCCTTTATGTTCTTAGTGGGTCAAATTTGTGAAGGACCTGCCTGTATGGGCCAACAGGCCTATTGCGGTGTTCCTCCTTTCTTATGTTCTTATAAACCTGTATACAGTACTGTACTGCTGTGTCTCCCTCAGTGCTAGAATGTAAAATGCTGATGTTACCCCCATATGTACTGTAATTCATGCAAGCCCATTTTCTTTGGTATGTACTGTAATTCATGGAACCCCATTTTCTTTGGTGTACATATGGTAAATATATGGTAATAATTTAGTAAAAGTAAAGTTAAATGTATGGGTACTCACCAATAATGAATGATACCGTTCTCTCTACAGCACTAAAAAAAATTTTGTGTATACAGTTTTATATTTTATATGGAAATTTTGCTGAATTTGTTAATATTTATGTTGCAAAATTATTAAATTATATTTTTCTTAAAATTTAGAATTAAAACACACAAAAAATTATACATTGCCATGAATTTGCGAACTTGCGGGGATTTCTGCAAACAATTATTAGTTAGGTTCTAAGGAAAAATCTGCGAATTACTGAAGCTGGGAATTTGGAACCACAAATTCACAGGGGTCCACTATTTTCTAATGCTGTTGGAAAATGGTCTTATTATATTTGGGTAAGGATCATAATGCTGTGGTACTGTGATTACCTAAAAATAACTAAATGTTATAAACCCTCTTAATTTTGTATACAATCTGTTCATAATTTCACTGAATTTATTATTTTTTTTTTTAACAAAGTACATGCATATGTAATTACTCCCTTTGCACATGTCCTAGTATTTACTGCCTTAAATAGTAGCATGTCTGTAAAGATATTATAATAGTGCTCCATGCTGACTACTAGAAAATATGATAAATGAATTTACAGTACAGTGGACCCTTGAATTTCATCCTCCCTTGAATATCGTGAATTTCGGAAATTGGCAGTCATATGAAACGCGTCCGAGTGGTCTCCCAGCTGCTGTGGGCACAAACACCATTCAATTTCGGTCTGGCATTGTATCTCGGCGAGTGACGATCGCTTCACGTGTTCATACGATACATTTCTTAATATATTTCATTTGTTTTAGTGCTTGCAACTGCTAATTAAGGCACCATGGACCCAAAGAAAGCTCCTAGTGCCATCCCTTTGGTAAAGAAAGTGAGAAACACGATTGAAGTAAAGAAAGAGATCATAGAAAAATATGAAAGTGGAGTGCATGTGGCAGAACTCTCCAGGATGTACAAGAAGGCCCATTCAACCATCACTTCCATTGTGGCGAAGAAAAAGGAAATCAAGGAAGCTGATGTTGCGAAAGAGGTGAATATGCTAACAAAAAAGAGATCGCAAATAATCGAAGATGTTGAGAAGTTGTTGCTGGTGTGGATCAAACAAAAAGAGTTAGCAGGAGATAGTGTTACGCAGTCGATAATTTGCGAAAAGGCAAGGCATTTGCGTGATGATCTCGTAAAGAAAAGGCCTGGAATGAGTGCTGATGTAGGTGAATTCAAGGCCAGCAAAGGCTGGTTCGAAAATTTCAAGAAGCGAAGTGGTATACACAATGTTGTAAGGCATGGTGAAGCTGCCAGTTCAGACAAACATGCGGCTGAAAAATTCGTAAGTGAATTCAAGGACTATGTAGAGGCTGAATGATTTGTCTCCCAACGAGTGTTCAATTGTGACGAAACAGGCCTCTTTTGGAAGAAAATGCCTGAGAGGACCTACATCACGCAGGAGGAAAAGGCACTGCCAGGACACAAGCCTATGAAAGACAGACTAACTCTCATGTTGTGTGGTAATGCTAGTGGGGATTTCAAAGTGAAGCCTTTACTGATGTATCACTCTGAAAATCCCATTGTTCAAGAAAAACCGTATCATGAAGGCTAATTTGTGTGTGATGTGGAAGGCTAACGGTAAGGCATGAGTCACGAGGAACATTGTCCTTGATTGGTTCAGTGAAGTGTTTGTCCCCAGTGTGAAGAAATACCTCCTGAAAAATAAATTAGAACTTGAGTGCCTCCTGGTAATGGACAATGCTCCTGCTCATCCTCCAGACTTGGAAGAGCAAATAGTGAAGAAGTTTAATTTCATCATAGTGAAGTTCTTGCCCCCTAATACCACTCCTCTCCTCCAGCCCATGGACCAGCAGATAATTTCAAACTTCAAAAAACTCTACACCAGAGCAATGTTTCAGAGGTGCTTTAACATAACCTCGGACTCGGAATTGACCCTAAGAGAGTTCTGGAAAGATCATTTCAATATCCTCCATTGCATAAACCTTATAGGTAAGGCTTGGCAGGGAGTGACTTCCAGGACGATGAACTCTGCTTGGAGAAAATTGTGGCCAGTATGTGTCCTCGACAAAGATTTTGAAGAGTTTGAGGCTGACCCTGAGGACCCTATGCTAGTTGTGAAATCTATTGTGGCATTGGGGAAGTCCATGGAGTTGGAGGTTATTGGCGAGGATGTGGAAGAGTTGGTAGAGGACCACAATGAAGAGCTAACCACTGAAGAGCTGCTAGACCTTAATCTGCAACAGCAACAGATCACAGCTCAAGAAATTGCTTCAGAGGAGTAGGAAGAGAGAAGGAAGAAGTTGCTTTCTTCAGAGATTAAGGAAATGTGTGCAATGTGTACTAGGATGGAAAAATTTGTGGAGGAACATCACCCAGACAAAGATGTTGCAGGCCATGTGTGTGACATATTCAATGACTATGTCTTGTCTCATTTTAGGCAAATTTTAAAGAAATGCCAGAAACAGACCTTTCTGGAACAATTTTTTGAGAAAAGGGTCCAGTGACTTTTAAGCTGGTCCTAGTTGCGTTAAAAAGCAAAGAAGGATAGTACCTACAGAAAAGGACTTCGTACCTGAAGTCTTTATGGAAGGGGATTCCCTTTCCAAACAATAAAAACTCTTCCATCCTCTCCCCTCCACACAACAATTCTTCAATAAAGGTAAGTGTCAAGTTATTGTTTTATTCTTCATGTTTCATTGTTTTCTGTATAGATAATTGTACATTTAATGTAAAAAAATTTATTTTTAATGCTTTTGGGTGTCTAGAATGGATTAATTTTATTTTCTTATGGAGAAAACAGTTTTGAAAATCGTAAATTTTGAATTTCGGTGGACTCTCTGGAACGGATTAATTATGGAATTCAAGGGTCCACTGTATTGCATTTATTGTCGTTCTTATCTAAAATGGGTTTTGGGTAAGAAGTTAAATGTTTTAAGAATTTCATAGAAAATACTGCTGCCTACAGTCACTCAATATGCACTTCTAATTTTTCTTCTAATCATTTTAATAATTTCTTTATTAAGCCTCAATGTCATTTCTGTTCAAGCAAAGCAAATGATTTATGGATTTTCACTACATACTGTAGTGTAAATATCTTGACTTTTTATACTTAGGTCTTCGACAGTTTCAGGTATAACAGAAATAATAAATAGTAAGTGAATGTTAATGTGAATAAGAATTCTTTTTTATGTATGTTTTTAAATTTGCATAATTTCCCTGATGCAAGTGTCATTAATATTCCTATAAAAATTTGGCAAATTGTATGCATATTTTTGATACTCTCATTGTTTATTGAAGAAAGGAGAATGTGTCAGAAGAATGTGTTCATATTTTCTTTTTTGTTTCCAGACCATTGCAGAAGTCTCCAATTCCTCTGAATCGTTACGATGATGAGAGTAGTCTGGGCACTATGCGTGGTGCTAGGACTCCCGATCTCAAGCAGGTTGCAAAGTCACTGTACAACTTTACTGCACAGAATAAAAGGTATTGTATTAAGTTTCATAAAGCTTAGCAAAAATTAGTAATTGTTCCTTAAATAACTATACCAGAAGATTTTACTTTAATTAACATTAACCCTCAGTTTAACAAGACCTTGACTTTGCAGACTTCAGAAATGTGGGACAAAATCTACATGGTCAGTCAATTTAGAAACTATGGACAAATTCCTGTATGTATTATTGCTATGATTGTGGTCATTGTCGGCTACCTGCTTACTCTTACTGAACTGTTAAATCAAGGCTTTTCACTACTTCATTGTTTTTATATTGTTAATCTTATTCATTAAATGTCAGGTTTTTCTTCATGATTTTTTTAATGCTTAACCCTTTGACTGTTTCGGTCATATATACACCTACCATCCCACTTACGACCGAGTTCGGTTCCGAGAAACCGGTCGTAAGTCGAACTTTACTACTGAATATCGACAAAACATTTTTGTAATGGCTTTATTTTATTGTTTTATTTTGGTATTTCATGTTTTACTTTACTTTTTATGTTGTTAGTACTGTATTTTATACTGTAAGGTTTAGGATAAACACTGTGTACAACATAAATAGTTGTTTATTTCCCAGAAATTTGGCATAAAAAACACGGTCGTAAGTCGAGTGGTCGTAAGTCGAGCAGGTCGTAAGTCGGATGGTAGGTGTATACGTCTTACGAGCCACCGTGTTAGACGTATATATACTCATAAATTCTAGTGGCTTCAAATCAAGCATGAGAAAGCTGGTAGGCCCACATGTGAGAGAATGGGTCTGTGTGGTCAGTGTGCACCATATAAAAAAAATCCTGCAGCAGGCAGTGCATAATGAGAAAAAAAAACTCCGGCTTTTTTTTTTTTTTTTTTTTTTAAATTGCTAACTTTGTGGTCTATTTTCTTGTAGTATTTATGGTTGTATTTTGGTTTTCTTGGTCTCATTTGATAGAATGGAAAACACAGAAATAGAGGTGATTTTGATTGGTTTTACTATGAGAAAAGAACCTTGAAATGAAGCTCAAAGTATGGGAAATGTTTGATTTTTGCTGATGTTCAAAAGTAAACAATTGATGTCATTTTCCAATAAATGTCCAAGTAGCCATTCTAATATGCAGTCATGAATGGGTTGACATTATTTATACAATTATTACAATATTGCAGTAGTCTGCATAACAGTAAATCTTCTGTTTTTTGTTTGAATAAAAATTCAAAATAGAAAGCAAGAGTAATATCAGAGGGGCCTGGAGACGTGACTGATGAACAAAGAAAATGTTATTTTAGAGCCAGGAATGTCTGCATTGTTCATTCTGGTCCCTATTTTGAAATTGTCATATTTTTTAATTTTTGTGAAATTGGCCAAGTTGCAAATTTCTGACCACATTATTGGGTAGTTGAAATCAGTAAATGGGCAGTTTCTTGTACTCAGTCGATAGAAAAATAGAGTTCTAAAGAAATAGCTATGGGTTTGGTCGACTGGAACAATGGAATTAGTCGAAAACAGAGCTCAAAGTGGGCGAAATCGCTGATTCATGAATATCCCCGCGGTTGCTAACTTTGTGAGAGCATAATTCCATCAGTTTTCCATCAAATTTCGTTCTTTTGGTGTTTACCTGGAGTTTACCTGGAGAGAGTTCCAGGGGTCAATGCCCCCGCGTCCCGGTCTGTGACCAGGAGTCCTAGTGGATCAGAGCCTGATCAACCAGGCTGTTACTGCTGGCTGCACGCAATCCAACGTACGAGCCACAGCCCGGCTGGTCAGGTAGTGTCATTACAATCGGGAAAAGATTCTCTATCATTTCATAAGAAAAACTAATTTTTGTTTTTTCGGAAATTTTGCGACACCAGGAGACACCTCAGGATTTGGGGTTGCGACAGTCAAGGGGCTAAGGATGGTTGAAATACTGAGGAAGGTTTCACAGTTACATACTCAGGGAGTCTTACGATGAACAGTGGTATTAACCCTTTGAGGGTCGACAGGCCCTCTCCGAAACTCGTTCTCAGGGTCGGCCAAATTTAAAAAAAAAAAAAAAATATTTTCTCTTAGGAAAAGATAGAGAATCTTTTCCCGATCATAAAGACACCAAAAGTTTGAAATTTGATAGAAAACTTACGGAATTATGCTCTCGCAAAGTTAGCGGTCTCGGCGATGTTTACGCATCGGCGATTTTGCCCACTTTGAGCCCCATTTTCGGCCAATTTCACTGTACTAGTCGACAAAAAACATGAATGTTTCGCTAGAACTCCATTTTTTCTATCGAATGGGTGCAAGAAACCACCCATTTATAAATTCAACTATCCAGTACAGTGGTCAGAATTTAGCAATTTTGCCAATTTCACACAAATTTCAAAAGATGCCAATTTCCAAATAGGGTCCAGAATAAACAAGAAAGACATTCCTGGCACTAAAATGACATTTCCTCTAGTCATTAGTCACGTCTCAAGGCCCCTCTTATATTCTTTTGCTTTCCACTTTGAATTTTTATTCTCACAAAAAATATAAGATTTACTGTTATGCAGACTACTGCATTAGTGTAAAAAATGGTATAAATATTATTGGTGCACTAGTAAAAGAATATTAGACTCACCAGTTGACGTGTATTGCACGCTTGGCACGATTTGTTTACTTTTGAAGTTTGGTAAAAATCGAACATTTCTGCTACTTTGAGCTCAATTTCAAGGCACCTTTCATTGTAAAACCAGTCAAAATCATCTCAATTTCTGTAATATGTCTTCCATTCTATAAAATGAGACCAAGAAAACTAGAATACAACAATAAATACCATACGAAAATACACTGCAAAGTCGCCGATTTATTAAAAAAAAATGGTCAAAGTTTTTTTTTTCTCATTATGCACTGTGTGCTGCAGGATTTTTTTTAGACTGCACACTGACCACATAGACCCATTCTTTCATATGAAGGCCTACCAGCTTTCTCCCACTAGATTTGAGGCCGCTAGAATTTATGAGTACGTACTAGTACGTCAAAAACCCCTACGCGTAAAACGTACTAGTACGACCAAAACCCTCAAAGGGTTAAAGGCTTGAGTTAGAAAATAATTTCAGCTGTTTTAAATTATATAAGAGAATCTATTTACACTCCCTTATTACATAATACTGCATATTTTTCATTAATATTTAGGAAATCTATTTGGAAACATCAATAACAATACCAACTTATTGGTTTATTGTAGATAAAATTACTATATATTAAGAAATATAAGAAACTCTTGATGTTAGATATGCTCTTGGGTGGCACCACATTCAAATGCTAGATTAACATACATTTTACACAGTTTTTTAATATTCTAGAAGAAACCATTACACTTAAACCAACCTAGAAATGTGTGAATTCTTTCCCAACTTTTCATAATCAATGATGTGTATATCGAAATGGTGTACTAATAGTTATTTTGAGTTAATGTAAATTTAGGTACTGTAGATATAAAGTTAATAATGGCCCAACGAAAATTTTGTTTTTACCAAAGGGAGTTGTCATTCAACAAAGGCGAAGTTATCTTCATCCGTCGACAGATAGATAAAAACTGGTATGAGGGAGAGTTGCGAGGATCAGTTGGTATCTTCCCCTGCAACTATGTTGAGGTAATTACCTTGCCATTGCAGTTATAAAGGATATGTTTGTAAAGATATTCCCATGACATTAAATGTTGAACAAGTGGGGAATTGTTAAGATATAATTTTTTTGGTATCACAAAGGTGAAGTCTGCATAATAAATACAACATTGAACATAATAGGCTTTATTCATTGTGTTACAATATTGATAATATGTCAGTTTTAAATTGTGGATGAACAGGTCATTTATGGATAGTTATACATGTACAACTTTATTGTAATTTTTTCTTTAAGTACATGTAAGAATTAGTAATTGCCTGTCAACCACATTCTGTGGTGCCCTTGATAGGGACAAGAAAACCAGAGGCTTGTAAATGGTTGCTCTGTTTTATCTGAGTCTTACCATTTTATTTGTAGTTAAAATAGTCCTTTCTTTGACCATATCAGTGGGTAGATATTACACTGTATAGCCCCTATGGGTTTAGTGCTTTCCCAAGATTATAGCAGTAATGGCTAGATCCTTCCATAGGATTGTTATTGTATATTGCCAGTTCTGAATTGTGGATGGCCACATTTCAAATTGAGTTTTGTCATTTCCAGTAAGCTAGTTACTTAGTAAAGTTTTGTTATTCACTTCATTTAGTCACTTATGAGATCAGTACTGTCACTTCCTGTTTTAAAAACTGACAGTTCTGTAGAATTCAGCCTATTCTTATAAATGAACCCACTTAATTCTGGGTCTTATCTTGAAACTTTGAAAGTTATCAGTTACATTTTACTATCAAAGTATTTTGTCTACCCATTTCTCTTACTCCTTTGAGCTAATTTGTAGTACATCTTTATCAGTCTTATGAGTCATTGTTGATATGTCTAGACCATTGCTGAGTATTTCTCTAAATTCACTTTACTGCCCCACTTTACATCACATGTCTTCTGTGCTACTCCACATGTTCTATACTTGTCAGTAGCCCACCCACTTAATTGTATATTTCTTGTTCCTCCCTGTACATAATACTACACATTTCTTAAATGGACAATTTCAACAGCTGGAATTTTAGTTATTCATCCTTTTCTGATACTTCAGTCCCATAGGTTGTGCTTTTTACTTGTGGTGCGTGTTTAGTGCAGTTCTTGTATGTTTTTACTCAATGTGAGATTGTTTGGTTCACCTGAAGTCCTGAGCAATAGAAGAAAAGCAGATTGCTTAATAGTATAGTGATGACATATTGAAGGGTCTACATGAACTAAACCCCAAGTGCTGAAAACATACAAAGGTAAAGGGGGAGGAAAAACTCTAATAGGTCATCAGATGTTTGTCATAATAAAAGTAATTATCTTTAGGTAGAACAAAATAAAGTGCAGCATACCGGGTAAAATTTAGTGTTAAACATTTATAATTGGGTTTAAAAGATAAGTGTTTCTTTAATGCACCAGTTGCCTTTTCCCACCTAAGCAAGGTGATCAAAATTGAAAAAGGAGATACACTCACCATCATTCATTTGATAGCTGTCTTGCCAGAAGTGTGTTAAAATCACATTTCAGGTGACCCTCAGAACTAGCCAGTCTCCCACAATAGGTCCTCTTTGCTCATTGGTAATTGTGGTTAATATTCATTATCATTTATTATTATTATTATTATTATTATTATCAAAACTAAGCACTAAACCCATGAGGGTCATACAGCATGATCAATATTCAACCCAGTTATTTCAAGATAATTTACTACTTTGCATTATTGTTCTTTCTCTCATAAGATACCATTTTTTTTTAAGTTTAGGACTAAAACAACTTTAATCTTTGACCCAGGCCAAAAATGTTACTAAAGAATAATGTTGAAAATGCATTTAGAAGTATATAATCATATTAATGTTTTGTAAGGGTTTATACAATGCCAGAAGGAATGGGTGGGTCTGAAAAGAAATAAAATTTGATCCAAAAAGGGAATGAAAGCTCCACTTTAAAGGTAGTGCATGTCATATAAGTTAAGCTGTAGTACAAACTTAGTGTACTTGTTCTTTGTTATAATAACAAATGAGCTACAGTAGATTTCTTTTTTTTTATTGAATATTTATCGACAGATTGTGCCTTACGAAAGCATTAAGACATTGACCAGGAAACCAACAGAAGGTCAAGCAAGAGCCAGATTTAACTTCCAAGCTCAAACCTCTATGGAGATGTCCCTTAGCAAAGGTGAGCAGTTGATAAATGCACTGTATTTTGAAGATGCAATTTCTTGTAATATAATGTATGATACTGAAAGTGTGCCTGCCTTGTTTGTGATTTATGAAGAGATCTCTAAAGTCGGCTCCTCACTGATGCCTGAAGTGGCATCAATTTGCTTCACCTGTAATGCCAATCTTTTCAGCTAATGCCCTTCCTTTATCCTTTGTACTGTCTTCCCATCCCCATACCATTCTCTTTTGTCTTGTCAGTCTGTATGACCTATATGGGTTTAGTACTTTACATAATCTGTAGCCAGCCAACACGAAATTTTGGTTAGCAAGGCCTTCTTAGAGAGAATAGAGGTAGGAGGCAGAGAGAAATTCTTACCCGGCCCAGGAGCAGAAGCAGGAATAGTAGGAAGAGTGAATTCGTGGTTCACCCAGAAGCACACACAGAAAAATGTTAACAGTACAGGAGCATGGAAAATATATAGAAAGCAAAGAACACAGGAAAGCGAGTGGAAGAGTCTGAACGACAGTTTGAAATTTACATAGCATTAAAAGTCATCTCTGAAGAAGGTTGCTTAACAGCCACATCAGAAGAAAGAACATTAGCAGACCAGATAATAAGGTTGAAGAAGGTAGGAAAAAATCTCTCGCAAGAAGTGACCAGAAGATTTAAGGCTTTATTGGAGGAAATAGTGGCACTACTGAGTCAGATGAAAAGAGTATATTAACGAGTACTGGATACAGTACTCCCAACAGAATAGTTTAAAAAATTACTTGGTGAACTAGATACTTCGATGGTACTGGGACCAGATATATCTCTGTGGGCTCTGAAGAGCAGGACCACTGTGAATCACTACCCACAAACTTCGAAGTTATTTGAGGTGGGGCAGCTGCTTCATGTGTGGACAACAACAGTGTAGTCCTGGTATTTAAGAAAGGGAACAAACAGGCAGCATTAAATTACAGGCCAGTGTCATTGATAATTAGGAGCATGGAACACTTGGAAAGGAATAGGTTTATAAAGAACAGCTGGCATATCCATAGAGATAGTAAATTGTGCTGCACAAACATACTGGAGTTCTGTGACAGTAACAAAAATAAGAGGGAATAGAAACTTATATAGATATAGAGAGATATTCTTTCTTTCAACGTACCAGCTGTATCCCACTGAGGTGGGGTGGCCCAAAAGAAAAAACAAAAGTTTCTCCTTTTAAATTTAGTAATATATACAGGAGAAGGGGTTACTAGCCCCTTGCTCCCGGCATTTTAGTCGCCTCTTATGACATGCATGGCTTACAGAGGAAGAATTCTGTTCCACTTCCCCATGGATAATAGAGAGATATATGGTGAGATATAATGAGATAGAGATATGGATGGACTACATATTTTTGGACCATGAAGACAATAGTTAAGGAGTGGGTAGAAATATGGAAGACAGTACCATAGATCAAGGAATACTTACCACAAAGGAAACAGGGTGATTGTCCAGGAAGAGATGTTGGAATGGGCAAGTGTGATGAGTGGGGTTCCACAAGGGTCAATACTGGGACCACTATTGTTTCCTGTACATGTGCTAACGGTGTCTCATGGCTTGGTTGGCAGCGCACACTGCTCACACAATGAATGTCTGTGGTTCAATCCCAAGTAGGAACTGGGTGTTACTACACTGTTGTGGGTCGCATCCTGGGGGGTGGTAGTATACCTCAGATAAGGCTCTGGGCCTTGAAATGAGCTAAGGTAGAATAATAGCTCCTGGTCTGTTAATTTGATTTGTATAAAAGAGAGAGAGAGAGAGTCAGAAACACTGTTTGCAAATGAGGAAAATGCAAACAGGAGAGGACCAGTAAAGACTTAATGTACCTACATAAACTGCAGGATTGGTCTAGCAGTTATCTCTTAAAATTTAACTCCAGTAAATGCAAAGTTACAAAAACTAAGTTAGGGCAAAACAGGCTAGAAATGGAGTACAGGTTTGGGATTCAGAGGCTGCAAAATTCATTCATTAAGTATATCACCTGAGGTGAAAGTCAGCTGAATAGCTTCTACACATCTGGCAGATCTAAGATTAGTTTTAAGGACTCAAAGGAGGAGTCATTCATGGCTCTATATATGATGTGTCAGGTCCTTACTTAAGTGCAGCACCAGTATGGAAACCACACTTGATCAAGCATATCGAGAAACTAGAAAAAAGTGCCAAGACTTGCAACAAGATTTGTCTTGGAGATGAGGGATATGAATTATAAGGAGAGATAAAAGAAGCTAAGCCTGATAACATAAGTGGACAGAGGTACCAGGGGTGACATGATATTGACTTGACAAAATGCCAAAAGCAATTGGTAGACAGTAACCACCAGGGAGGTACTACCATCCTGTCAAGTGAGTGAAATGGAAACCTGTAATTGTTTTACATGATCATAGGATTGCTGTTGTCTTTTTTTTTTTTTTCTCTCTCTCTCTCTCATAAATACATGGGATAATAGGCATATCTTGCTGCTTCTACATACACTTACATCACCCTGCACATGCTTGTGCATGCATATATATATATATATATTTACACACCCATCTGGGTTTTCTTCTATTTTCTTAATAATTCTTTATTTCCTCTTATCTCCATGGAAAAGTGGAAAAGAATTCTACCTCTGTAAGCCATGTGTGTCATAAGAGGTGACTACAATGCCGGGAGCAAGAGGCTAGTAATCCCCTCTGTATAAATTGCTCATTTTTTGTTTTAGGGTACCTTGCCACAGTGGGATATGGCCAGTTCGTTGAAAAAAAAAAAAATAGGGATAGACTGTTTAAGAGGTGGGAAATGGATGACCCAGCTGTGAAAGTGTCTATTCTCAAATATCTAAATGCATCCATTTCCTCTGTACTCCCTCACTTCCTGGAGAGAGTTTACCTGGAGAGAGTTCTGGGGGTCAACGCCCCCGCGGCCCGGTCTGTGACCAGGCCTCCTGGTGGATCAGAGCCTGATCAACCAGGCTGTTGCTGCTGGCTGCACGCAAACCAACGTACGAGCCACAGCCCGGCTGATCCGGAACTGACTTTAGGTGCTTGTCCAGTGCCAGCTTGAAGACTGCCAGGGGTCTGTTGGTAATCCCCCTTATGTGTGCTGGGAGGCAGTTGAACAGTCTCGGGCCCCTGACACTTATTGTATGGTCTCTTAACGTGCTAGTGACACCCCTGCTTTTCATTGGGGGGATGGTGCATCGTCTGCCAAGTCTTTTGCTTTCGTAGTGAGTGATTTTCGTGTGCAAGTTCGGTACTAGTCCCTCTAGGATTTTCCAGGTGTATATAATCATGTATCTCTCCCTCCTGCGTTCCAGGGAATACAGGTTTAGGAACCTCAAACGCTCCCAATAATTGAGGTGTTTTATCTCCGTTATGCGCGCCGTGAAAGTTCTCTGTACATTTTCTAGGTCAGCAATTTCACCTGCCTTGAAAGGTGCTGTTAGTGTGCAGCAATATTCCAGCCTAGATAGAACAAGTGACCTGAAGAGTGTCATCAGTGTGATATTCAGTATATAATTACCCAGATTGTTACTCTCATCACATTATTATTATTTTTTTTTATATTAATAAGTCCTAAACCAGTATGGGTTACATATACAGCACAAGGAAGAAATTTTTGTTTTAACATACTGGCTGTCTCTCACTAAGGTAGGGTGACCCAGACAGGAAGAAACACATTCACCAATATTTGCTCTATCACTGTCTTGCCAGAAGCATGCCAATATATAGCTCAGATGCCCCAACAGACTGCAGTTTCCTTACCTCTCCTTCAGAGGGCAGGTACCATACTTCTCACCTCCAGGACTCAAGTCCAGTTAACTGGTTTCCTGTAATCCCTTCATAAATGTTACCTTGCTCACACTCCAACAGCATCAAAAGTCATAAAAACCACTTGCATCCACTCCTGTCTAACATGTTCACACACACCTGTTGGATGTCCAATCCCCCTCACACACAAAACCTTCTTTAGTCCCTCCCTCCAATCCTTCCTAGATGACCTCTACCCCTCATTCCCTCCACTACAGATTTATACGCCCTCCAAGTCATCCTATTTTGCTCCATCTTCTCTTAAGTGTCCAAAGTACCTCAACAGTCCCTCAGCTCGGTGGATAATACTTTTACTAAAGTTGTGTAAATATTGATTCAGTGCTTCCAGGTTTCACCTAAAATTTATGTTTCTTAAATATATTTAATTATAGAAATGATAGATATTGACGTTTCTTCTGACAGGGGAACTGGTTGTTTTAACTCGACGTGTTGACGAAAATTGGTATGAAGGTCGGATAGGTAACCGTAAAGGCATCTTCCCTGTCTCTTACGTCGACACATTGGTAGAACCAGGCAGTGATAGACCTAGTAAGTGAAACTTGTATTAATGATTAAGGTAACAGTTACAGGCTTTCAGTTATGATGATTCAGTGTTTAGTGATTTGTCAAGTTTACTCTTCCTTATTAATATCCTAAACCAGGGATGACCAAGCTTTAGTGAGACAGGATCTGTTTTTTTCCTAAGGTATCCCAGCATGATTCAGTATGGCCTAGTTTTTCTCAAATTATGTGTATTGATCACTGGAAGTTTAATAAAGACTCAGTGTGCATACCAGGACAGAATATCGAGTATATGCACAGCAAGAAAGTGAGGTCATTTTGTTTAAAGTAAAATCTAGTTTAACAAACCAATACTCAGTAAACATGTTCCTGTTGAATATTTGCTGTGTGGTAAAAATTTGCTCTAATGTGATCAGAGCTGTTGGTTGCTATGTGCTTTTCACTCATGTGATTAGAGCAAGTGGACATGGTCTTTTTCATTGCATTGTTACTATGCTGGTGAAGAACAGTATGATTTCTCTTTGAATATTACTCTGGTTTATACTGACATTCATTCATTAATATCCAGTGATAAACGTGTACAGAGTACCACAGTCAAACATTAATCATTTTAGCGAAAAATTAGGAAACATGATAACTGATGCACATATGAACAAAGACCACTTGCTGCTCACAGGAGATTTCAACATAAATCTACATAATCAGGACCCACAAGTAACTGAATTCACAAACACTGAGCAACTGCTTGTTGTTACCAACAATAACAAAACCTACAAGAATCTCCGAGACTAGTATCTCCTTATTAGACCACATTTGGACTAACACCATATCCCCTTTAAAATCAGGCAAAATCACAGACACCACCAAAGAACACTACCCTACCTTTCTCATAATCAACCTAGGTAAATTGCCCCAAGACACTACTAAAGTTACCTTCAGACTACATAACGAGACAGCAGTTAATAATTTTATAGCAGCTATGAATAATGTCGACTGGCATAATGAGCTTGAAACATATACAGATATGAATGAATGTATTAATAATTTGCTAAAAAAAAAAACTTCCTCTGTAACAAGCATTGCCCTAAAAAATACTAAACCGATCACAGCTAAGAGACTGAATAGTCCCTGGCTAACAGCCAGCATCCTTAAATCCATTAACACAAAGCTTCTATATGAAAAGCATTACAGAATGGGTCACATAACTAGAGACCATTCTAAATGTTACTTGTCAATCCTTACCAGTCTGATAAGAAGGTCAAAAAAATTGTATTATGAAAACAGATTACATAACATAAAAGGTGATATGAGAAAAGACCTGGAAAACCCTATCCGAAATTCTAGGAACTAAAAAGATATCCAAAAACAAAATCAAATTAGCAAAATCGGATGAACCCCTACTCTCTCCAACTGAAAGGGCAAACAGACTCGATGTTTTCTTCACCATAGGAAAGAATCTAGCGAGCAAAATCCCAGTGTCAAACACCCATCCATCAGACTACCTCACGGGCACCTACCCAAATACACTATTCTTAGCCCCAACCAGCCCAACAGAAGTCTAGCTCATCATCAACACTCTTAAAAACAAGGCAGGAGACATAAATAACTTACCACCTTTTATGTACAAAAATGCTTCACAGGCACTGTCACCAGTAATTGCAACACTCTTTAACAAATTCATCGAATCCTCCAACTTCCCAGCAATTCTCAAAATAGCGAGAGTCACCCCAATCCACAAAGGAGGTGATCAAGCAGACTTGAATAACTATAGACGAATTTCTGACTTACCTCTGATCTCTAAAATCTTTGAAAAATTAATTCATAGACAGATCTATTCCTACCTTGTCTCACACAACATACTAAACCCTTGTCAGTTTGGATTCAGGAATAATAAAAGCACAAATGATGCTATTATACACATGCTAGAACTAATATGCACTGCTCTTAAACACTATTCATCAGCTCTCACCAAAGTAATAAAGAAAGCCAAACAACTATACTACTCCAGTAGATTCACAGACACTAGAGGAGATATAAAAAAGACCTGGAAAACACTCTCTCAGATTCTAGGGACCCACAAACTGAGAAAAACCAAGAATATTGTCCTAACTAAACCTAATGAAACACCACTACATCCCACTGACACAGCTAACAAGATAAATGACTTCTTTTCAAACATAGGATCTAATCTCGCCAGTAAAATCCCACATACCAATGCCCATGCCGGGGACTACCTAGATGGGAATTTCCCTAATTCCTTCTATCTTGCACCAACTGAGCCCACGGAAGTCATTGAGATTATAAAGTCACTTAAAAATAACTCGGGGAATCTGTCTCATGTCCCACCATTACTGTACAAGCGAGCGGCCCATGTCCTTTCGCATGCTATTTCATTACTTTTTAACAAGTCACTAGAGACTAGCACCTTCCCGAAACTACTCAAGATGGCAAGGGTTACACCAATACATAAAGGTGGTGACCCTACAGACTTAAACAACTATAGGCCAATATCTAACTTACCATTGCTATCCAAAATCTTTGAGAAACTCGTGCACAGGAGACTGTATTCATTTATAACGGCTCAAAACATACTCAACCCCTGCCAATTTGGATTCAGGAAAAATAAAAGCACTAATGATGCAATCATAAAAATGCTAGATCTGCTTTACACAGCATTGGAAAATAAGGAATATCCACTAGGAATTTTTATTGACCTAAGAAAAGCTTTTGACACAGTAGACCACGACATCCTACTCCACAAACTTGATCATTACGGTATAAGAGGCCATGCGCTTGCTTATTTCAAATCTTACATTACTAATAGGTATCAGTACGTCACCATTAAAGACACAGCATCAGCAACACGGCCACTTGATACTGGAGTTCCGCAGGGAAGTGTCCTTGGTCCCCTGCTCTTCCTCATATACATCAATGACCTTCCAAACGTATCCCAACACCTGAAACCCATTCTCTTTGCTGATGACACGACTTATGTCATCTCTCACCCTAATCTTGCCACCCTCAACACCATTGTGAATGAGGAGCTGATTAAAATATCGACTTGGATGACAGCCAATAAACTTACGCTTAACACTGACAAAACCTACTATATTATGTTTGGTAGCAGAGCGGGAGATGCACAAATTAACATTAAGATTGACAACACTCTAATTACCAGAAATAATGGGGGCAAATTCCTAGGCCTATACCTTGACAACAACCTGAATTTCAGCACCCATATCCAGCATATAACCAAAAAAGTATCCAAAACGGTTGGGATCCTCTCCAAGATACGATACTACGTGCCGCAGAATGCCCTTCTCACACTATACCACTCACTCATTTATCCATACCTCACCTATGCTATTTGTGCTTGGGGATCAACTGCAGCAACACACCTAAAGCCAATAATAACCCAACAAAAAGCTGCAGTAAGAATAATCACTAAATCCCATCCCTGGCAACACACCCCCCCACTCTTCATAGACCTAAACTTACTCCCAGTTCAGTACATCCACACTTACTACTGTGCAATCTACATCTACAGGGCCTTAAACTCTAATATCAACCTTGACCTAAAACGCTTTCTTGATAGTTGTGACAGAACCCACAGGCATAACACCAGACACAAACATTTCTACGACATTCCCCGTGTCCGACTAAACCTTTACAAAAATTCAATGTATGTCAAAGGCCCTAAAATCTGGAATACCCTACCTGAGAACTCTAGAACTGCAGACACATTCATCACCTTCAAAACTACCATTAGAAAACATCTTATCTCCCTGATACACCCCGTCAACTAACTACACGAATACCACCTGGTGGTTCACACTTACACTCACTCACTCATTTGACCATAAACAGAAATATTAATCTCAATCTTAAAATAATGAATCCTGTGATACTCCAATACTGAAACTATGTACTGTGCCAAAACAAAAGCATTCACATTGCTAAACTCACAAACTAGTATTTAGTCACTTAGCCATAATACCAACTTACCTCATAATTTGTAATATTTTACAATTAAGAATAAAACTAAGTACAGTATGCCCGAAATGCCTAGCCATGCTAAGCGTTCTAGTGGTACACTCTGTAATCACAATTTTACTACATGTAAACCACACAATAACAAAATTTCTGTAAACTCAGCATTGTAATCCTTATAGAGAATAAACTTTGAATTTGAATTTGAAAGAAGTCCCACTGCGAATCTTCTTTGATTTACGTAATGCTTTTGATACTGTCGACCATGAAGCTTCGCCTAGATGGGTTTGGGAGTGAGTGCGAGATGGTGGGAGCTGGTGGGAAAAAAGATACCAGCAATGAGCTAAAGAGTTGGAGCTGCTTTAAGTGGCAAGTGGTTCACAGTTCAGGAAGAAGGAAGATAAGGAAGGTTAATAGAGAAGATGTGAGGGCAGGAAATCGATTCTCTGTTCTCCAGGATGAGTGTACTTCAGTGGTTAGTGAGGTTAAAGGTACCACTGACTCCCCTGCTAATCAAGGTAAGAATATTCTAATTGTAGGAGATTTCCAGGTAAGATATATGGACTATGCTTTTTGTAACAGAGATAGGAAGGTCAGACTGAGGGTGTGCCTCCCAGCAGCTGGTGTTGGGGACAGTCAGCAGGTTGGATAATATTATGTCAGGTAATGGGAACAAGCCCATTATCTGTCTTAGTGCTGGTGGAAATGACATCAGGAAGAGTAGGAGACAGGAGCTGCTGAATAAGTACAGGTCAGCCATAGAAGTTTGTCAGGTCTAAGGGAGGGATCCCAATCATATGTAGCATCTTGCCTGGAAGGGGAGTGGGCAATGAATGGAAGTCTAGGGCAATTGGTATAAATTGCTGGCTAGACAGGTATTGCAAGGAACTTGCAATCCCATTCATTGATAACTGGGACAAATTCTATGGCAAGCATGATATGTATGCAAGGGATGGGGTTCATTTCTTTGGGGTTGGAGTGGTTGCATTAGCCAATTCGATCGAGGGGGTCATTGATGACTTGTCTAGGAATTTAAA